TGCAACTACACGTCAAAACTCTGTTCAAAAGGATACTTCTACTGAAATAAATCGTAACACTACTGATGCAAAGCTAACTAAAAACAGTTCAGAAAATCGTCTAGTTCCTGAAAATTTTATCGCGCAAGATTATTCAAGTTTTCTAGATACTCAGGAGAATTCTGTACTACCTACTTCATCAGGATTTTCTCAACCGTCCTCAGTTTCATCTGACAAAGGACATGCGTCATCGTCACAGAAGCCTTCAAATATCAGTGCGGAAACATTGATTTCAGTACAAGTTGATAATGGATCGAAATCTAGTAGGTTGATACTTAATGTTCTTTCCGAATAAAATTTCCTCTGTTTTTGATAAACTACATGTGTTTATAATTTTCATGCAACTTGAACTTACTGTTGAAGTTTACATGGGGGAATTATCGACCAAATGACAGTTAAATCAAAGGAGTAATTATTATTTTTATTATTATGAATAATTTTGCATACACTGTTATAGTAAGCCTGATAGTCCCAAGGTCAATACTTTCATCTGATACATAGAACAATCAATGTTGGTGCCTATATTTATTTACAAAGTGGTTACTTACTGCATGATAAAAGTGTTATCGCATCTGGATGAACATATTATCACAAGCAATTTGACCTATAATCATTCATATTATGGCAAGTATAAGTTTTTTCAAGGAATTTTATAATAATATTTAACGAAAATCTCATTATATATAAGACTGTCTTCTTTAAAACTTATAATTAATGTTTAAACTAAGATAGTTGTCCAGCGCATCCGAGCCCACCATACTTTTCTACTGATACCGATCAACACAGTAAAGTTTCCTAGAAGTCTTTTTCCTAATTAATGTAACTAATAATAAATAGCTTTAGGTAAAGTAATGTTTAACTAGTGTCACCTTTTTGTTTCGATATCAAAGGTAGAGCGGTGGATTTCAGTGGTTTAGGTGTTCACGTTTAAACCATAAGTTTGTAGGTTTGGACTCCATCCTGCCTATTTTGATTCGAGTATCTGCTAAGGCGATCACAAAAAACTGAATTTCAATAACGGTGCCGAAATCCTTTCAGATAAGATAACTACTCGCCTGTTCTAGTTCGATGTCCCGCGTTACCTCTGCTTTCTGATTGGTCGTTATTGTTTTGTGTTTGCTAATTTTCTCTATGATTAAAAGTCATCTCTCATAACTTGGTTACAAAAATTTTACCAATTCGTTTTGTATCGCTTTTCCTCTCCCCGAATATCAGGTTCCTTGCACGTCAACTAACTTTGTTGGCTGTCGAGTGTTATTTTTTTGTGAGTGTATTCCGTTGTGAATTACAAGAGAATCGTTTGCATTTGAGTAGTTCAATCAGTCTTTAGGACCGTAATATTATAAGCTCGTATTAAACCTCAACCAGAAGAGACACCAGCAGCCAAATAGCAGTATCAAAAGTTCTAATATCTAGTATGTTTTGAAATTGCGTATACGAATACTGTTTGGTAGGAACATTTTTTATAGTTTCAGTTCGCTTTCAAAACACCACTTTTGATTGCTTCACTTTTCCGTTAAATTGATTAATGTAATAGTCAATCATTTACTAAAAATTAAACAAACATCATCGACATAAAGTCCGGTACTGAAATTCGTTGTTCCTCGTTGCCATACCATTAGACGATATGTAAAAAATAACAAAAAAAAATCAGTATAGCCAGAGTTCAAACATTCTAATAAACTGTTCATAGTCCACCGCTTCAACCAACCGAGTCCTAGGTTCACTAATTCATTTCCAGCAATTAAAACAGTCCTTTTCATTAGAGGTCTTGCTTTTTATTTCTAATGTATAACAGATACTTCTGTATGGTGAGATATCCATTGTTTTTCACTAAAAAGTGTCATTTTAATTAAACAAAACCAGTACAATTTATGTTGTTATTTTACGTTGTTTTCAAGATTCAGCTTCAGTCAATACAGTTCAAGAGAAATCAAAAGTTGTTCCCGGTGAAAAAAATGATGGGTTAGTTCATTTCAGAATAATTTATATAATTTTAATCATTCGTATCTTTTTCATATGCTTAATAAGAAATATTTTTACTTGTGGATTAAGATTTACTTTGTTTTATTGAACACCGATAGTATGAAAAATGATAATATTGATCATTTCCACCTTCCAGAAGCGATCATTGATGTAGAAGTAGGTTGGAAGAAAGCTAGGGGCGGCCAAACCAAAACATGCAGAAATCCATGAAGTCACTGACAAGTGGACTGAGTCATGTCGGTAGGTGTTGAGTACCTGGTTGGGGTCCGCGAGATGATAATTATCGATGGTTAGAGACCTTAAACACCATAGCTCAAAATCGTTTGCAATGGCGTACGTGCATTCATTCATTGCGTTTTCTCAAATTCTAATCTTCTGAGTCCCTCATCATCTCTATCTTTCTCTTTCTAAAGTTATCTCACTGAACAATACCTCTCGTAACATATCTTCGAACCCTAGTCTTTTACATTACTGCTAATACTTCCACTATCTTTGTCGCTATTGGATTTGAACTGACAGTTTCGTCTTTGTGCTGATGCGGTATTATAGCAACCCGAACTTATGTACCCATGTACGAAGTTCTACGTTGTAACTGACTGACTGACTGAAATTTTATAACTGATAAGATAATATAGTTATGTGGTCAGTAAGTAGAATGTAGACTAATTATTTAAATGCCATTACAAGGCTTTATCTTCCTAGTAACTAATTGATGGTTTTTCAGCAAAGTACTAATACAATACATTGACAAGTACTTTTTGTTTAGAAAAATAAACTACATCTTCACTGAATAATTAAAGAGGATAATTAGAAACAATAATGACGTATTATAGAATTGTACTGTAATGCCCCACATCTTTCCAGATCATATTTGCATTTTTAGTCTATCCAATCATAAGATAGGTTTGCGAAGGCTGTTTCATTCAATATAGTTTAGCACCAAGGATTTATTTAAACTGGATAACCATTAAAGACCAAGGGGTTCTTGAAGTTACGCTTCCTAAATGACTGCAAAAATAATATCAAGGTTACGAATAGCGGATCAGAAAATAGTTACTATAGCCAATTAGGATGCGGTTTAATTTATCAAACTATATTTTGTTCATCCCTTCTCTAAATATTATGCGATCTAGCAACTGCTTGATTGAATTTTTCGAATGTCATATTATGTGATCAGGGTATCTTCAATATTTTAGAACTGTTTTTAATATTTATAAACATTTAATCTGGTTTTCTATACGTAGCTGAAGAGAAAGCAAATATACACAATGAATTTATTGTATTCTGCAAAATTCGTTTTTATTTTCTCTAAATTAATTCCCCCATTTCACAATATTTTAGGTTTATTTCTTTGGATAACAGTAATAATAATAGTAATAATTGTGTTAGAAAATTTGGCTTGTCAGAATCAGAGATAGTATCGCAGTGTTGCAATGTTTTACACAATGTTGAAGATGAACTCAATTCTATTTTGAAACAAACTAACTTATCTGCTAATGTTAGCCACCAAAAAAAGACTGTAGATAAACGATCGGAAACATTACCAATTGAAGATCAGCTCATTGATTATGACTTATTACGTGTACCTGGGATTAATGGTGAAAAGTTGAATGCCAGTCTTGTTCAAATGTATCATGACGTACAAACCACTAGATGTAACTTTTTCGATGTTCAAAAGCGATTAGATCAACCAAGATTGTTCTTGATACCAGAAGTTGACGATGAAGGTTAGTTGTTGTTTTATTGTACTCAGAATGACTATTGTGGAAATAGATGTGTACAATATAAATTAGTGTAAGTATATGTGCTATGAGCATTGGGTTTATAAATTCGAAGCCGACTTTGACTACTTCAGATCGACCAGTAACGTACAATTTTAAGCACCCGACTGCTTCAGTTTGAACGTCTATGTAGTATCCGTAGCCAACACATGGAGGTGTGATTTGCACTTGAGTGGGTGAACTGTACTAATTACACAAGTTACACTGATTTATAAATTGACTTGTACGTTAGAATTAGAAGTGCTCTCTTTAGTTTTTGCACAGCGTTGTGGTTTGTAAATTATATTTTTTTATACCTACTTTCATGGCATTGACCCTTAAGTTTTAGATTGTCCATAAAGACTTCGCATTATCTGATACAAGGTCATTGAAAGTACTCATAACCGTTAAAGGAAGAATTTTTTGTAAGTTTCTTTTAGTACAGAATACCAAACGGTCTGATTAGATTAATAAATAATCCATAATGAATAGGATCCATCCTAAGTGCTTCCACTATTGTTTTGTGTTCATCTTGTCCAAATACTTTTTATGGAGTTAGATCGAAACTCATTGAATTATTATAAATTTCATTTATGTCACGTACTAGATTTCTTGCATTTCCGAAGTAGTGTATTCAAGATTCCCAACTAACTAAATATACTTTTAACAAGCAATCTAACTTTGACGATCTACTTAGTACGTATGGAATGTCAGGTGAAGAAGATAGACATAAAAATATTGAAAACTCTCCCTCACTACTGACTCTACTGCTTGTGAACTTCAATCTAGTGTTGTTATTATATCATACTTCGTACTGGAGGATAAGTCGTTTATTTTACCGTTGTAAGAATTTGTTAACAAGGAGCGATATCACTAATGTATCTATACCAAAGTTGAACAAGTAGATTTTTTACAGTACTATGAATCGATACTAAGTATCTGAAATAACTGAGCGATAAATATATATTTCTATTATTCAAAATCGTTGTGTCTTATTCATAACTAATTTGTCTGCAACATTTAATGCTGAATTCCTTCCTTCTTTCTCACTTACGCCTGTTACCCCTAGTGAAGCATAGGCCACCGACCAGCATTCTCCAACCTTCTCTGTCCTGGACCTTCCTTTCTAATTCTGACCAATTATTGTTCATTCTTTTCATGTGTCTCCATTTCTCGGCGTAATGTGTTCCTTGACCTTCCTCTTTTCCACTGGCCTTGAGGATTCTGGCTGAGGGCTTGTCTTGTGACGCGATTGTGTACTTTCCTCAGTATGTGTCCTATCCATCTCCAGCGCTTCTTCCGCATTTCTCACCCTACTAGAGTCTGCTTTGTTCTACCCCACAGTAGGTTCTTGTCTGGTCAAAGAATCTGAAGTGTTTTTCGTAGACCACTTTTAATAATCACTTGTATCTTCCGGCGAATGGCCCTCGTGATTCTCCATGTTTCCGCCGCATACAGTAGAACATTTGTGTTAAAAAGTTTAACGTTAGTGTTGGTTGGTAGTTGTTTTGAGTTGCAGATGCTGTTCAATTGTAGAAATGCTGCTCTTGCTTTTCCGATCCATACCTTCACATCTGCATCAGGACCACACTACTCATCAATCAGGCTCCCCAGATATGTAAAGGTTTTTACATTTTTCAGGGCTTCTCCGTCAGGTGTGATTTGGTTGATGCATGTTGTGTTGTATCGGAGAATCTTGATTTTCTCCAGTGCATGTTGCGACCTACTACTGTTACACTAGTCGTCTTCTCTTGCATTTGTTGTTGCGTGTGCGTAGTCCAGTTGCATCCTGGCTGTCCATTGAATACCGTGCTTCCCTCCGGATGTTGACGTCTCCATAATCCAGGAGAGAGAGAGGGTGAGAGTAAGCAACCTTACCTGACGCCGTTCTTCACCTTGAACGAGTCTGTCAGCTGTCCGCTGTGCACAATTTTGCAGTGTAATCCATCATAAGAATTCCGTGTGATGTTGAATTTCTTCTCAGGCACACCGTAGTATCCAATAAGCCTCCAAAGTGCCGTCCTGTCCACTCTGTTGAAAACTTTCTCGTAGTCAATGAAGTTGATCTAGAATGGTAAATTCCATCCATTTAATTGTTCCACAGTGATCAGTAATGTCGCTTGAGATTCGGTTGGGACACTATCGATGATTACGGAATGCAGCTTGTTGATCTCGAGGTTGGGCATTGAAGGAATCTGTCATCCGGTTTAGGAACACTGTTGAAAACTTTTCCTCGTATCGAGAGAAGAGTGATGTTTCCATAGTTTTCACACTTGATGAAACGGCCTTTCTTTATTATCTTCATGAGGTATCTTTCGTTCCAGTCTATCGGTACTCCCTCCTTCCTAATCCTGCTAACGAAAATGTCAGGTATCTTCCCAGTTACTGTTATGTCTGACTTTTGTGCCTCAAATGGAATGTCTGGTCCTGTTGCTTTGCCGCTCTTTATTTGTCCAATGGCCATGCTGATCTCTTCAATTGTTAGTGGGCCAATAGTGATTGCTATGTCCGTGGGTGCTGCTTCAGTGTTGGGTGTGTTCAGTGGGGTTGGTCAGTTCAAGAGCTCTTCATACTGCTCTAATCACCTGTTTCGTTGTTCTTCACTGTCGGTGATTAGTTGACTTCTCTTGTCCCCACTGGTCGTTCTGGTTTACGATAATTTCCAGCATGCTTCATTGTAGTATCATATAACTGTCACATATTTCCTTCTCTTGCAGTCTTTTCCGCCGTAGCTGCTAGATCTTCCACATATTTACGTTTATTGGCTCTGATGCTACTTTTCACTTGCTTGTTCGTCTCTGTGTATTCAGCTTGTGTCTTGGTTTTCTCAACTCATTTCCGATTGATATTGATCATCACCTCCCTCAACTTCTTTTCATGAATCCTAACTATAGTATCTACAGACATCCATTATTCGTGATGATGCTTCTTGTGGCCCAAAACCCCACGACATGTTGAAGTCATTGCCTCCTTAATCTCTTTCTAGTTGTTCTTCTCGGTACTTCCCTCTTCATTGAGTAGATGTTGTAAGGCTTGGAACTTATTGTTGAGGGCTATCTTGAACCCGTTTATCTTTCTAGCATCCCGAAGAAACGCCGTATTAAACTTTTTGTGATGTGTTCGACTAGTTGTCCAGAGTTTCAGTTTGATCTTGGCGACCAGCAAGTGATGATCAGAGGCCAAATCAGTCCTCCTCTCATTTCTCACACATTCTATCGTCCTTCTAAACATCTCGTTGATGCAGATATGGTTCATTCGGTTATGTATGGTGAGATGCATGTGACTTTGTGTATATGTTTATGTGGAAATATGGTGCCTCCAATGACCAGCTTGTTGAAGACACATAGTTTGCAAATCTCTCACCGTTTTCGTTCTTTTCTCGAAGTCCATGTCTTCCCATGATGTCTTTATATCCGGTGTTGTCCATTTCAACCTTGACATTTAGGTCTCCCATTAGAATGGTGAAGTCCTTTGATGGGCATTTGTCGTAGGTCGACTACAGCCTATCATAGAATCGATCTTTGACGTCTGCGTTGTTATCGTTGATAGGTGGATAGCACTGGATGACGTTCATTGTATTCCCCTCTTCTTTCGTCTTGTTGGATGCTTTGATGACCGTGTGTCCATGAGATTCCCATGCTGTCAGTGCTTTTTGTGCTTGGTTGGACAGCATTAGTGCAACTGTGTGTTTATGCGAGTCATTTTCGTTTTGTTCATGGCCAGAGTACAACAGCACCTCTTTCAAAGCTGGTGTTTTTTGTCCAACCTGCGTTGAATGTATTTCACTGACTGCAAGTACCACTAGGTTGTATCTTTTGATTTCTGCAGCAACTCGGATGACTCTGCCGGTCTCCCACTTTGTACGAAGATTCGATTGTTGTGAGAAGGGTCATCAGACTCGTGACTTCCGAAGGAACTCGGTGCTAACCATGAGATTTCGTAACTATTCTAAATGAAGACCTTCTAACTCTCAGGGTAGAGTTTAAATGGTTTGAATTGATGTTTCTGGTTTTGCATTTTTTTCAGCGAGTTAGTTTTCTAGTGGATGGGGTCGGTAACTCTTTATTCGGCCTTGGGATGTGCAGTAGCCCCAGCGAGGCCTCAGGCGGAGTTTTCCAAATACTCTTGGACTTCAGTCCTTTGCAGTAGAGAAAAGTTACAAAGTCAGAAGAGAAGCTTTTCTGAAAGTTAACCTATCTACTGAAAACGCGTTTATGTTAGATTTACTGGTAGCATCGGCTTTCTATGATCTTCTGGTAATACGTTAGATTTATTAGCATAAAAAAATTATTATTCAGTCGAATAATCCGTAGTTTTTCGTGACATTTTTATGGTTTTTCTATCCAATCAAAATTGGATAGAAGAAGACTTTCTTTAGGAATTCTTAGCTTCCAGCAATGTATGGAAAAGATTACTGATTAACTAAGTTGATATGTGGAAATGGCATCTATTTGCGATCCTAGTTTTTTCTACGTATACTTAATTCTGTGTCGAAGAATGCTCTGAAACCTTTAAAAAACAGTAAGTTACCCATTATCGATGGATTGATATAGTTTCAACTTTCCACTACTAGTAGCATGAATGTACAAGTTTTACGTTTATAAACTGAGTTAAATAAGTCAATTCATCTTAATCACCCCACAACTGGAGTATGTGCAGACATGAGTTTAAAATTTTTTTATTTCTTCATTCACATACACTTTTAGGACATTCACCATTAGGATGTCCAACATATTTGACATCAGCCCGTATTTTACAAGAAGCTGTTTTCTCTACACCTCGACAACATATGATGCCTAACTTCACAGAGAAGAAGTGGTATGTTTTACTTTGTTTTACCTAATAAAGCCTATATTTTTTTATTTAGGATAACTTATGTTCATAAAATGTGGGATGCTGTAATACATTCTCCTTTGTTATTGGATTATCATTCTGTTCGGATGAATCAAATTTAACTATTGTAACTTTTAAAATGCTATCTCCTATTTTGTTTTATTACACTAATTTATCTTCACATGGAAATATAATTACAACTTTTCTTACTGTCTTTCTACTTTAATTATCCGTCTAGTTGGTTTTAAATTCCGATGGTTTCTATCGAGTGAACCAACTTGTTTGTGAAAAAATAGTGTTTTCTCCGTTTTAGATTTCGGAAACAGCTTATACTAATATCAGAAATTAACTTAAAGCCTTTAAAGAAATTATATAATTTGCGATTTGAATTGTATCATTTTCGAATTCAAATGCTAACTGACTGATGCTGAGGCGTTTTCGTCGTATTTTGCGTGAATAGACACGACTGGAAGATTGCTTCGAAAATCTAGTAGCTGTGTTTAAAAGTGAAATGTCTTTTAAAAGTAGAAACGGTAATTGAATTAGAAAGAAGTAGAAATCATTTCAGTTAAATGATAAGTTAGTGGACTTACAGAATCGGAATTACTTATTGCAAATACTGATAAACTACAGTTATAGGAATAATGAAGTTGAATATTACAGTTTTTGGAGATGTTCTGTTGCCAAACTGACTAACAATAGAATTAATTACTGAGTAGTAATAAGTGGTTTAATGTAGTATACATCGGTTAGCAGAATAGGTAAGAGATTAAGATGAGCGCCACAAATAGACCTAATATTCTCAATCATCTGTCCATAACTTCACAGAATGGGAATATCACTTCTCAACAGATGTTTACTCTGACTATCTTTTTCAAAATTAATCCATTTCACACTAGTAACTCAGTACTACATTTTGACGATGTGAACGATAGCCTACATTCAGTTCTTCATATTTAGCTCACTAGCTTCAGTTTACAGATGTGTAAGCTCATCGGTCTGTAAGAATCATTAAACTATCGTGGTCCACAGTCTGCAGTCTTACTATACGGCCTTGAAGTTAAATTTAAAAAATTAGTTCATCTTTAGTGAATATTATTTTACACCAGTATAACATAAAAACATTTCAACAAAGATGAACTACTCGGAACTCGTAGCTCTATACTCGTAACGGTAGATGTTTCAATGAGCCTGTAAAGCGGAAACAAAGACAAGTTAAATATAATGCAGATTAAAAATTTATCAATCATTAAGAAAATCTTCTAATAAATAAAAAACAACTCCATAACTAAAAACACAACGTAAAAAATTGGGCGTGAATACGTCGGAAAATCATAATCGACAATGAACAAGTCAGCACATAAGTTGAAATAAGGCACTTCAAAACTGTTAGTTGGTCGACTTCAGGCAAAACCACAACTGGCTATTAAAATCGAAAAGTTATACCAATCTCGGTGAGTAGTAGAAGAGCTGAGTGGAATCGTGAAGCGAAAATAAAACTTAGACCTACGACACATTTACAACGGAAAAAACTTCTGAATGGTGGTTGATATTAATATAGTTCATTCTATCACATTGTGAGATTTTTCAATATAATTGTGACCTATTCCGTCAACATATTCATTTCTAGACAATACAAAGGGACATTATCATAGTACAAAAATTCATATCTTAATTCGCCATCACTCAGTGTTACGACCGTAGCAGCTACCATAGCACAGTGGACGAACTTGCATATCGCAATGACCCAATCGACCTTGTTGTTTGTAACATATGTTCCATTAGGTCCTACCATGTCAGGCAGGTCGACTGAAGAGTGGTAAGGCGTAAAGAAATAACTCATGGACCTGAGGGCGAATTCGTATTGCTAAATGTAGAGGGTTGGCAACAGTAAGGTTTTTCTCTCAGACAACCAGCTTCTGCAGCGATGCTGTCTTCTTACATGGAAGGGAGGGATTATTAAAGGTTGACCCTAAAAATTTCACACCTCACCTTACCCCACGGTTCTCGATCTCTGGCAGTAAGGCTATTGGAAGAGCGGAGCTAACACTTCAAAATCCATGAAAAGGCCGAGCGTGACTGGCCTCAAGCAGTTGTCGCTTGAGCTCCCAGGTCTCTAAAACCAACGGTAATCCGGTTTCATTTTCAGGATCTTCAAGGAAAACCCTTTTACGTTGTGGGTAGCAGGGAAGTGACATCCACAGCACACGAGATCAGTTTGTGCACATTCAACCTCTCCATACACCTCTTAATAACTCTTGTCATCGCGACAAAACCTCACATTCTTATACCACCACTCGCCGCAGATGCAAACGTTTCGAGTACGTGAAATAAAACTACACCCGAAGTGCATTTTGGAAATTTGGATTTCCGAACTAGCATTAGATTGGATAACAGGCTTCCTTAGATAGCGTCGGCACCTGAACCAGTAATAAGGAGTTAGCAGACCAGCTTGTTGACTATTTCCATTATTTCGGGGGCTTCATCAGTGCTGATGTGTCGTCTAAAGAAATCACGGCGTGGATAGGGCATGCTCTACCACCATTCCCAACTTCCACCACTAAATACATAGGTCAGATAACTCTCTGTCATTACCAACCACATACCAACGATAACAACGCAGACGTCAAAGATCGATTCTATGATAGGCTGTAGTCGACCTACGACAAATGCCCATCAAAGGACTTCACCATTCTAATGGGAGACCTAAATGTCAAGGTTGAAATGGACAACACCGGATATAAAGACATCATGGGAAGACATGGACTTCGAGAAAAGAACGAAAACGGTGAGAGATTTGCAAACTATGTGTCTTCAACAAGCTGGTCATTGGAGGCACCATATTTCCACATAAACATATACACAAAGTCACATGCATCTCACCATACATAACCGAATGAACCATATCTGCATCAACGAGATGTTTAGAAGGACGATAGAATGTGTGAGAAATGAGAGGAGGACTGATTTGGCCTCTGATCATCACTTGCTGGTCGCCAAGATCAAACTGAAACTCTGGACAACTAGTCGAACACATCACAAAAAGTTTAATACGGCGTTTCTTCGGGATGCTAGAAAGATAAACGGGTTCAAGATAGCCCTCAACAATAAGTTCCAAGCCTTACAACATCTACTCATCCGAGAGAAAGCCACGATGGATCAAAGCTGGAAGAATATCAAGGAAGTCGAAACCAATTTATTCATCTCAGAATTTTTCGCTTTTTACGCCACAAATGGAGTAATGTTGAGGTTAGACCCTGAATAGTAGGCAAGGATAGCAAAACAGTTCTGATAGCCTGAAGTCTGGTGAAATCTCGGTGAGGATTCAGAAGGCTTTGTGGGCTTTTGCCAACTTATGACAATTGTGGCTTCAGGGCGATATCTCTCTGCCAACCAAAGGACGAGTCTGATGACAATGAGTTCTTTCGGTCCTATTTTACGGGTATCAAACAGTCATTTAGAAGAGAGGATATTCGCATGCTACTAGTATCCGACCAAAGAGCTCCTTGTATCACTATCCGTGAATTCTGGGACCACCTTTTAAGCAATGCTGGTGTTAGGAAATGGGTACTAAGTAAGGATGACATATCAACTGAAGTAGTGAATCTTGAGTTGAGGTTTTTAGGACGTGTTACGTATGCACAACTACCGACTGCCTCGAAGAGCGATTTTGTCTGATGTAAGAATAGGCTGAAAGAATGCTATGGGCGGCCAAAACAAATCAGTGCACCAGTTCGTGAAGCCATAGACAGTTGGACTGAGCCGTGTTAGTAGGTGCAGACTACTTGGTCGGGGTCCACGAGGCAATCGTAACCAGTGGTTAGAGACATTAAATGATATGACTCCAAATCTCTTGCAAGGATCGGAATTGTAATTGTGATATATTTGTTGAACATACGAAGTTCTACGTTGTAGTTTACTGATTTACCTTATCTTCACAAAGACATTCAAGTCTACTAGTGATTGCTGGTACCACCGACGGTCAGCCAATTTTTATTTACCGTAATTTAAAAGTGCTTCATAAAACCTCTAGACCTGTCCAGAACTCATACTAATTTTTTTTGCAGTTCTAGAAGAACAGTGTGGCGTCAGATTTAAATCAACAGGCGGCAAGTTTTATGTCCATTTCTATGAAAATTTTACCTTATTGAAATAGGTATTCTGTATGGATACTTGGAAATCTAGGCGGAAGTCTTTCATTCATATAAAAAACCTTATAACAAAATACAAACAGTATTCGTTAGAAATTATGTCTCTAGGTAAGAACTACTTTAATTGATTTTGATTTTCCATTCACAATATTAGTGATCACTCACCCTTGGAAACAGATGGTTTGATTTTGTTACAGAATTTTCGTTGCAGGCGAAAGGGATGACCTTACACAAGAGTCTCTATGAATGATTCTGACTTTAATTCTTACTGACGTTGAGAAATAGATGCATGTAGTCCAGAAGATGCTAGCGGCCAAAATATCGGTTCAGAACCACGACCGAAAGAAAACCTGTGAGTCAAATCGTTTAGAGTCTGAAAAGGGCACATGGTGAAGCTCGTTAATGCCAACTTCACTGACCTCTTAATTAAGATACCTACAAGCTCAGATAACTAGTCGAGGTTAATGTCAGCTAGTGTCCTCGAAAATATCCGACTTAAATCTGGCTTATTACTAAAAAAACTCACTCACTTGAAAATTCATCAGGATGCTGTGTTGTCCACCCTATAATCGTGGAACTGTTCAGAAGCCCTCAATTCCCTTGTATGCCAGCTTCTCAGGCATTTACTAGGGTCGCGCAGACTTCCATCAGAATGGAGAATAGCAACTCTCCTTCAAATTCTCAAAAGAGGAGACACGAAAACTTCGGCCTGCTACAGCCCAGTATCATTACCTTGAATATTGTCGAGATTGATGTAAGAACTATTAAACAAACATATCAGGAAGTAGATCGATAAGAACAACGTTCTCCATAAAGCTGAACATCCGTTTGGGAAAAGCAGATCGTGTATATTCGATCTTCTCATAGTATGGGACGGCTCGGACTAATAAGTACCAGTTCATATAATATTTCTTGGCATCTCCACAGACTTCGAAACTGTGCCTTACGAACTCCAAATAGTGAAGGCTTTACGGATCCACTTATATCTGGACTCAGAAATTACATAGAGAACAAATGTTTGTGCCAAGGTGAAGTG